GCCCCTCCTTAACGCGTTGCGCCACAGGGAAAAATGTAGCTTCGTCTGGGGGATGTAGTAGCTACAGTGTTTGTTATACCTTGGATAAGTCACCATATCTTTTTATCTTCTTTCTTCCATGGGTCATATGAGGAGACATTGAGCATTGAAGTAAGGAGAGGCTCTAGGAGGGAGAAAACCTCACATCTACACAGACTCAGAAGATAGTCTGTAGGCTCTCATCTACATCAATAGAAGCAATTTGAAAAGGAGAGTATATCACCAATATCTTCTTCCTGCTGAATCCTAAAAACTTTTTTGCACATTTTTCTTTTTTGCACATTTTTTGCTGCTGAACTTTATGAATTGATATATTTTTAAATTATCTTTATTATTTTTATTTATTTATATTTCATTAATATATATACAATTTATAGTTTGCTTTGCATCATTTGCACATTGGATTATATGAATTTACACAAAAAATGTTTTTTTATTTATATTTAGTTTATTTGTACACTGGCACAGTGAATTTTATTAATTTATTTACCTATTTTTAATGAAATAATCACATTGTGCAAATATCATAATTTGATTTAATTATATATTTTTAAGTTTTATTAAACACTAGGATATTATAATAGGACTAATCTAGGTAATTCAGGTAAAAAGCTGATTAGATGATAGCACCACAGTATATATGAATTAATGGTATTGCTATAGTAATATACTATATATAGCATAGGCAAGGTAATGTTAGAGCGCGGATAATTATTTACTCCATGGACTCAGTTTCTCTTGGGGTAGGAGGGCCTTTACCTGAAAGGTATCCAGGAGACGGCTCAAGAACACCAAGCAGTGATAGAATCAGAGATAGTTTCTCAATATTCAGGATCTATCTAAGGTCCTAGGTACACTGGATTTCAAGGCCAAGGAGGTCTGCATGCATGGCAACAGATCATCTATTATATCCAATGACTGCACTAGCTCTGAGTTCTTCTTAGTCTGAGTTATTCCAAACACTCTCCAAGCCCGGGCAAGGGCTATGGGAAGGATCATAAACTTAGTGCTCACTCTCATACTAAAGCAAAGAAATCACTGATGAATGTGAAAAATAGGAATATGTAAATATGCATCCCACATGTTGATGAATGCCAAAAAGTCTCTGCGATAAAGGGAGGCAATTAAATCCAGAGAGAATATACAAATGTGTTAGGAGTTTTTTAGTTCAGAATACGACTAATGCATTCTTTGGGTTTTAGAACTGTAAACTGGTTTGAATAAAAGCCTTGAAACTTTTCGGATGGAGGAACAGAAATAACTCTCTCTAGAACAGCAATCACTGAATAGCTGAAAAGTGGTTTGCTTAACATTGCTGAGGCACGGGACATGTGGTGAAAAACTGAGAGAGGATTGTCCATTTTTAATGTTTGATACTACCTCCCGCACCCATGTGTTGACTTTGATGCTTCCCAAGACTCGGTGAAAGCCATCAGACATTCCCGCACCTCTGATAAAACTAGTAGGAGTGGACATTAATGTGGTGTCAGATCTAGCTGTGGGCTAGATTTCTTTTGTTTGCCATGGACAGCTGGAACACCCTGAGCTTGTGGGGGCAGAAGTAAATCTGTGGGTCCCAAACTTGACTTAGAGGAAGGAAAAACGTTTTAAAAAGCAGGACAGAAAGGTGTTGAATAGGGTTCTCAGTTGGTAAATCATCTGCAGCTGTGTAACCACCATTCAGTTTAGGGCCAGACCTGATGCAAACAATCTCTCCAGATGGAGCACAGAAGAAAAAACAGGTTTTGGCAGCAGGCAGGCTACAGTAGAGGAAACCAGGATTGGTATGTGTGTCCTGTTTCTTATAATGAATGTTGAGCTGACAAAGATTTGTACAGTTTCTCACTGTTCTTACAACGGCGTTCCCCTAATGAAGCATTGCCAGAGCTGTGCTTAGGAAAAGAAAAACACCACAGCGGAGCACACTTCACTGCTTGGAAGAAGCATGCAGCAAGTGAAGTGTTGGCACCCAAGACAAGTGCACTAGTTAAGCACTGCTTCAAGTAGTAGTGCAGAGACCAGGATGACAAATCTGAAACCTTTTAAGACATTTCAACAATGGCAGCCACCCTATTTCTATTCTGAGAGGCCCCCTTTTAAAGATGCCTAACTTAAATGAGACCGTTCCAGATAGCAAAGAGGATGGAGATGGTATAAAGTTGTCCCTCTTACCATCTGCTGTGTCTCACTCACCGGCGGCCTTCCACTCTTACACGCATCATCCAAGTGTTTGTGCCACAAAATCGCATGGAATCGGGAGCTTGTCTGGAACTTGTAAACATTGCCTAAGCATCAAAAGGACAGAAACTCATTTTAATCATACCTAGGAGTGGAGAATAACAACACTCCCATCATAAATGGACAAAAATCAGAAAATGCTTTCTACCTGTGTGCCCTTCTACCTGCTTGCTCTAGGAAATGGCTTTGTCATTTCAAAAGTTGCTTTTAATCTTTTTAAATCTGCAGACTACACTCTTATGGCTTTACAAAAGTCTGCCAACTGCGCTCCTGCATTTTCACCCTGTCCCATGCTCCACTGGTTAAATATCTTAAATAAGATGTAAAAAAAGTCAGAAATAGTATTTTCTGGGTAAAAAAAAAGACAATGTTTCGATACATGGTGTTTTAGGGTTTAGATCTATTAATGATTCTGTAATGTGCTTTAGAATATGTTGGTGCCATGTGTAGCACCCCTACCAGTGGTATTTTCAATTTATTTTTAGTGAACACAGTCGATAAATGAGAATATAGAATTGTTTTCTTAGTATCTGTCTGATTGGGGCAGCTGCCACTACTACAGCTCCCTTACTGTTGTGCTGAATGCCTGATATAACACAACCTTTGAAAAGTGATGTTCATCCATGAACCAACAATGCTTCTGGGAATGGAATTCAAAACTGTGACAGCTGTCTTGGCAGGCACCCCTTAAAAATAACACTAAATGCGCACCCGTATACAAGTACTTTGGGGAGTGGTGAAGATTTTTCTAAATCCTATTCTAACTTTTTAGGGTAGTAGACTGCGATCTTCATGACCATGACAAATACCTAAATAGATTGCAAACATGTGCATGCATTTTGGAGTGTTTGTCTTGTGTTTTTTGTTGGTACCTTTCTATTAAATTTAAATTAGGGATATAATTGTCAAAATGTTCCATTTGATCTTTTGTATTTGTTATAAAGTCTGCTTTATAGAGAGAGCTACCACGTACACTTCCATATTCTGTCCAGTCCACACCTATAATTCTTATATCCATGCAGAACTAATTTATTAAAGATGTAATAGATTAAACTTCCCAAGATGTCACCAATTAAAGGGTGGCTTAGTTAGCAAACAACCAATATAGAGAATATCACAGAAGGGAAGGCAGGCACAATAGGGCTGATTAACTAAGGGACCATAGACTTTGCAAAGTGACTATCTACAGTACTTAGCTTAGTGAACTTAGCAAACTGAACATGCTCCTTTTAGCAAATCAAGAGGGATAAGATAAAACTGTACACAGTATACACACAACAATTAAGTATTACTTTTTTTTGCAGTATTTAGTTCCCAATGGAACAGAGCGCATGCATAACTTTGTCCCATCTTCCTATGTGCACTGTAACCCTAGATGTGATGTTAGGCAAGCGTGCGTCAAAGGGCCTCCTGTCGGACACTGCAGCTAGCAAGGAAATGGCTACTTTGCTAGTTGACACCCGTCTCTAGCTCCTATCACTTATCCAAAGCAAGCACTGGCAAGAGAAATGCAAAGGGAGGAGAGGTGTGTTGGTTTGCTTCAGGCAAGTGTTGGGAACCTGAAAGAGGTGCTCACTAACAAAGCAGCTGTCTTGTTGCTAGCAATGATGACGGGTGGCCATTTTCCCAGGTGGGTGCACTGTGTGACATCACAGATAATATTACAGGGCACCTTGGAATATGGGACATAGTACTACATGTACTTTTTCCCTTCAGGAGCTGAAGAGTGGACAAAAAAAATACTTCTATAAGCTTGAACCTGTAATTTAAAATTACCTACAGGGCACACAGCTTAGAATGGCTATAGCAATGGCAAAAGTCAATGGCAAATCCGAGTGTAAGCAAGTGGTAGGAATGTGAAAGAGCTTGTTTTTAAAGAAAGAGAATGGGTTTTCAAAGGCCTGAATAAGGTGGTTACGGGATTTCCTGGACAGAAATGATAGCTTGTTAAAGTGTTTACAATTTTCTATGCATTGTGCAACAGTCTGGCATATATTTGTTGTTTTGTACGGATCATTTAACATATAAGTTTCACATAATCTTCCTGAGTGAGTCATTGCAATTGCACAATATTCACATTTTTTAAAGTCGTTGAATACATTAGATTCTGCTATGCGGCACAAGAGAGAGCCAGCTTACCTTTATCCGGGTTGTTAAGCTGAAAAATATTTGGATGCTCTGGGTCATCTGGTAATACTACCATCCAGCCCAGGATTGACATCTTCTTGTTGGGAGTGGACTTGTACTGAAACAAAGACAGTCATTGATTATAAATTCTAGATTTGTAGAGTAAATGTATCCCTTTAGGTCATCAATAGATACTTCAAGGATTCTAGCTAAATATATTTTGTGCTTATGCCCCCTGCAGTTATTACACACATTTGCTGAAATCTTTCAAAATGTGGACTACATGAGAGCATCTACTCTTACCATAATCACATAACCAGTTCCAATATTGCAGTAAGGAGCACTGTACTCCAGCTTGCTTTTAGGCATACAAAATATCTATGAAATGTTTCCAGAGAGAAAACTTCTTCTTCCAAGGATACCATATATCCTATAACGGGCCTTTGTCATTTGATTTCAAGCTCTGTGCAGGTGTCTGGGAAAGACTGTGAGCCAAGTACAGTGGCAGGTAAGGTGGGAAATGTTTTTAAACTGCTGATTTGAAAAAAATTAAGTAATAGGCATGGCCAACCACAAAATGTAAAGACAGGATACTATTAACAACAAATACTCACATTTTTCCTTTCATTACCCCGTAAAGATTTGGCCCCGAAATACAGAAGGGTAGACCCTGTAAGGGTCACCCAGTAACGTGTCCAGGAGGTCAGCTGTATACAAAGAGGAGCAGTATTAGCTGCAGTAATTGTAGATAAGTATGTCTATAGCAAAGGCAATTCCATGTGTACCAAATTGAGAAACTGTGAGGGCTGTTCACACCAAAATGGTTTGTTCATGCATTCCCACATGTACATTAACGTGTTTGCAGTGCATTTTTTTTCTACATGTTTGACATGGGGAAGGACAGGTCATTAAAGGATTCAAACTTGTGTTTTGTTTCCAGTGTTGCATATACATGCAATTTATGCTTGTTTGTGTTTTGCAGAAAAATGCAGCAGGCTATATTGTTTTTCACTGCACTGCAATGGTTTGAATTATACTCATTAGTTTACACTGTTGTACGGTCTATGCTTTGGGAATGCATTCTACTGCAGCTGGTGTGACAAGGCCCTAACAGAGGAATCACAGACTTCTACTGTGAGAAGGAGCAGTAAAGATGAACTGTATGCTGTATACACACAGGGCTGGCCAATCTGATCCTGTTATCTCACTGCTCCTTAGGCTCCATGCACGCTGGGTGTTTTAATAACGCTGGTAACGTTAGCTGTGTAAAGTCACGTTTAAAAATGTGTATTTATTACTGTTTTTGCATTAGCATTTTGCGGTTTTTAGCGTGTTTTTTTTTCTCAAAAAAAGTCCAAAAATGCAGGTTTGCTGTGATTTACCGTGTTTTTACAGGTAAGAAACTCCTCTAGAAACCCACTAGTTCTGGGGGTTTTGTCCAGCCAAAAAACGCTGATTCCAGTCTGTGTGCATGGACACATAGGATAACATGCTGGGGAGTTTACTGGCTGTAGAAAAAACCATCAAAAGCCAAAAACAGCCGCTGTAAAAACGTCCAGTGTGCATGAGGACTTAAGAACAACAGACTAGCTGCCCTAATGACTACTAGCCAGAGATCATATGATCAAGACTCGGAAGTCAATTTTTTTTTTTTTCGGCAAGCTGTAATTCTCCTCTCAGAAGAATAATATGATTTGATAAAATATGTGAAATGTGCATTTTAGTGATAATTCTGCTTGGAAGTAAACATACCATCCCATCTAAGGGTACCTGTGCACAAAGACCACTGTAAGCTGTTTATTGCTTTCTAACTGTCCTAGTTGTGAATCCTCTGTGAAGTAATCCACTTACTTACTTTTGCCTTTGTTTATTTCATCTCTCCATTGGCTGGAAATATTATTTTATTTATTGGCTGGCATCAGCCAAATTGAGAAAGTTCCAGGAAATTAGGAAAATAAGTAAGAAATAATTGTATCTAGAAAGGGTGTGTAAAAATTGACCCTTAATATTCTCTTTGCTTTCAAAGCTGCTATCTAGGTGATTTGTTAGAGAGCATTGACATGAGAGAGGAACTTTGAAGAGCTATCTGTTATAATTTTTTTTCTTCTTCCCCCATGGGACAAAGTAAATGCACTACTTTGCCTCATGTTGCTAGGTGCTTCCCAAGACTAGTTATGAAGTATGACCTGCTCCCCTCCCTTCCCTGCTTGGCTAATCCAACCACAGCTAGGAAGGAGACTGATCCTTTCAGCTCAGAGTACTTTTCTGAGACAAACTGTGACAGTACTAATTTCTACAAGTGTTACTGTAATTTATCTTGACAAATACAAGATGTGTTACCACTATTTGATCTCTGTGTGAGTGCTCCCTCTCCATTGGGGGGCAGAACAATGTGAAAAAAAAAAACGTGATGATAGTTCTTTTAGAGTGATTGTTCTCCCTTGCCTTGTAAAAAAAAGAAAAAACTAGGAATGCACCGATATCAGAAGTACAGCAAGGGACATGTACCAGGACTGCCAGAAGTACAGCAAGGGACATGTACCAGGACTGCCAGAAGTACAGCAAGGGACATGTACAGGACTGCCAGAAGTACAGCAAGGGACATGTACCAGGACTGCCAGAAGTACAGCAAGGGACATGTACCAGGACTGCCAGAAGTACAGCAAGGGACATGTAAGCACTCACTGGCGCCCTGTGGGGGTACATAGCCCTCTCCGCCTCCAAGCTGATATCGCATCCGATATCTGTTTCAGGTATCTGAGAATTTGCACAAGTAGCAATACTCGTGCAAATGCCTAGTATCTTCACCGATACGGATATCGGTATCAGAGCATTCCAATGAAAAACCCATTCAGTTTAAATAGAAATGAAAGGCAAAACATTGGTGTATAGATTTAAAAAAATTATAAATACATTTTTTCCCTTTTTTTTTAGATAAGTGATCACATACCCTCTATTTTCAGCTGCATAAGAGCTGAGGGAGGAGAAACAGCGGCACGCTGAACTTCCCAGTGAAAGGCTGGGCAGGGGGAAATGGGGGTTGGGTGTGACAGCACAAGCCTGATCATTGGAGGAGCACAGGCTGAGTTCCAGCACAGCGAGAAAACTGACCACGCTGTACTCTCATGCCTAGTGTGGTCAGGTTTTTTTTAACAATAGGGAAGCAGAGAGACTGGCAGGAACACCAGGGATTTCACAAAAGGGCAGTAATACAAAGAGAACAGGATACGTCCTCATACAACAACATTTCCCCCCCATTTTGGATAAAGTAAGGGAGAGTTATAACCCGTCAAATTTTTTTTTCCGCCATTGTCCCATTGCAGAGATTTACCTTCACTTCCTGTGCCATAGCCAAATGGGGAGTGAGAGGAAATCCCTGCACATTAAGGTAATTCTTCAGGGAACCCCAGGTCACCAGCACTAGTCTCCCTAGTGGATGACTTCCCCTCTATTACTTGGGATAACCCAAAATTTGAGATTTTCTTTCCTTTCACTTTCAACGATAATGGTAAGCGGGACAAATAGAGAGAGTGGATCTCCCTAGTGGGGGCACAAACAGCAATAAAAACTGACAGGGGTTCTAATCACTCACCACTCTATCCAAAACTAAAATAAAAGTTTTGCCTTTGGTATACTTTAAAGGTAAATGTAAATCTTTAAAGTGCTCACAACAACCTCTATGTATAGGTATGGAATAAGTCATTGTTTTTTTTAGCAATAATTACAAATGACCAGGCTTGTGTTTCTGAACTATAGCACAGTCCTTTTATAAGACTGTTCAAAAATTGCTGGAGTTTATTATGAAACCTGGGTGCCCTCTTGTGGTAGTCAGCCAGTAATACCATTCATGTTGCAAAATGTTCTAGGATCTGTTATCTTACTGTTGGCTTCTTCCCTTCTTTGAGTAATGTTTTTCTTCTAAGTGGTCCTTCCATTGCGATAACACCAGATGAACTTCCCAAAATGCAACTGCATGCTGCTGTAGGGCTAAAAGACATGAGGTTAAAAGTTAACTTCTGCACATGTTTTGTGACCCTACCCCCTGTTTTAAAATTTGGGGCTACAAGCTCTCTAGGGAAGGTAAATGCTATTGTATTTTGTCATCACATTTTTTACATGAAGCATCATTAATCCTGCACACCTAAACCTGGGCACTGAGAGATTACTTAAACTGAATTTTTGTTTTTTAGCTTTTCTACACTGTATTGCCAAAAGTATTGGGCCAGCCCTCCAATCATTGGATTCAGGTGCTCCAATCACCTTCCATGGCCACAGGTGTAAAAAATCAAACACCTAGGCATTCAGACTGCTTCTACAAACATTTGTGAAATAATGGGTCGCTCGCAGGAGCTCAGTGAATTCAAGTGTGGTACCGTGATAGGTTGCCACCTGTGCAAGTCCATCCGTGAAATTTCCTTACTACTAAATATTCCACGGTCAACTGTTAGTGGTATTATAACAAAGCGGAAGCAACTGGGAACAACAGCAACTCGGCCATGTAAAATGACAGAGCGGGGTCATGCTGAAGCTCATAGTGCACAGAACTTGCCAACTGTCAGCAGAATCAATAGCTGAAGACCTCCAAATTTCAGATTAGCACATAGAGCGCTTCATGGAATGGGTTCCATGCCCAAGGAGCTGCATCCAAGCCTTACATCACCAAGTGCAATGCAAAGTGTCAGATGCAGTGGTGTAAACTTTGCAGGGCTTAACATTTCGAGTCTAGACCTACTAGCCAGGCACAAACCTTACTCTCCACCTGTTGCCCCACCCAACCTTGCCCAGGTCCGCCCCCAAACCTGCCCCCTTAACCATTAGCCGCCCGGCCAATGGCCGTTTGGCGGCTTCAGATGTGTATCTGCATTCCGGGTGCACACCATTTGGCGTGCTCCCGCACATGCGCCGTTTGCGCTAGTGCAGAGCGGCGCAGCAGTGCGATCTGTAATCGGCCGTGCACCTCGGACACGGCCGATGATAGATCCGAGTACTTGCTCCCGTTGCTGGTACCATGTGACCTGCTGTGACCAATCACAGCAGGTCACATGACAGTTGTATACAATGGATGGCTTCATTCATGATGCCATCCATTGTATACTAGTGCCTAGCTGTGAATGGTCACAGCTAATCACATGCACATGTCATGTGATTAACTGTGACCAAATCACAGCTAAGCACAAAAAAAAAAAGCTGAATGAATCGATTTCATTCAGGTAAATGCTTGCTTTGTGTAAAAAAAAAAAAAAAAAAAAATACTGATCACTTCCCCAAAGTAGTACAATGTTACTATGGTAACATTGTACTATTTTGGTCATAGTAAAATATGAAAAAAAATCTTAAAAAAATAAAAAAAAAATGTAATAAAAAATTAAATATAATAAAAAAATAAAAAAAAATTTCAAAAAAAAAAAATATATATATATGTTTTTTTCATACTGTCACCAGTCAGTGTCCCTGTTCACCGCCATGCCAGTTATATGATGACGCTGTACTGCACTGGTGACAGTATGTAAAAAAAAAAAAAGTGAAAGTTTTTTTTCATTTTTTCATTTTCCGAAAAATTATGACAAAAAAATACAACTTTAAAAAACTCGCCATGCCTCTTATGAAGTACGTTGGACTGTCTACTTTGCAAAAAGGGGTCATTTGGGGATATCTGTACTATTCTGACATTCTTGGACCTCAAGAAATTAGATTGGCCGTCAGTACTTCAGGATTGATCAATTTTCAGATCTATACCATAGTTTGTGAACTCTATAACTTTCCTAAAAACTAAAAAATACATCCTAATTTAGGTTATTTTCACCAAAGACATGTAGCAGAATACATCTCGGCCTAAATTTATGAAGAACAATTATTTATTTGTAAACTTTTGGAACAGAAACAAAGAAAAATGTGTTTTTTTTTCAAAATTTTTGGTCTTTTTTTGTTAATTTAGTAAAAAAATAAAAACCCCAGTGGTGATTAAATACCACCAAAAGAAAGCTCTAGTTGTGTGAAGAAAATGATAAAATTTTAGTTTGGGTACAGTGTTGTATGACCGCGCAATTGTCATTCAAAGTGTGAGAGCGCTGAAACCTGAAAAATGGCCTGGGCAGGAAGGTGTAAAATTGCATGGTATTGAAACGGTTAAAGCTTATGAAATTACATTATTCTAAAGAAAAGAGACCAAAATATAAAAAACTGCAATTATAACATAGCTTTATTATGTCAATTTCTGTTTCAATATTTTTATTAAGAAAGTTTTGATTTTTAAGCATATAGCAAGCTCAAAATACACCTTCGCAGGGGCAGAACAGAACAATAACATATAAACAGGGATATCCTGCTGACTGGTGTTAGTCAAATAACAAAAATTCAGTTGATATCAAGAAGGGACGGCAAACAGCCGAGCCAAATAGCAGCAGTAATCCAACATAATAGTAGAAAAAAGAGAAAAGAAAGGAAATTAGAAGAGAAAGAAAAGAAAACAAAAGGGAATCAGAAAGAAAATATGAAAAAAGAGATCACAGATCTGGGGCTAGCACCAAGAGCGACTAAAGGAGGCCATAACTAGTAGGATGCAGGGATGGTAAGGAATAGCGTATCCAAGGTTCCCAAACCTTAAGGAATCTCGGATGAGAATCATGAAGAATGCTAGACATCTGCTCATTGACCAACATAGCATTCATCCAAGTCCTCAACCCTTGAAAGACTAACGAAGTGGTTCTCCAAGCTTGAGCTATAGTACGTTTAGCCGAAATTAATAGGTAGGATGCCAATTTCTGTTGAGACCTATACAGGCCCAAAATTGGGCAATGCAGGAGGGCCACCCTTGCATCCCTACAGACCGTAATATGAAATAGCGTTTGAAGCAAACCAAAGACCCTAGACCAGAAGCCAATCAATCGCGGGCACGACCAGCAAATGTGTAAGACATCCCCACGTAGACCACAGTTCCGGACAAAAAACCACTTATCTCCGCCAGTCGGATTAAAGTGAGTAGTCCAAGCCGGGACCCAGTTATTATTATGTCCATTTAAACATAACAGCAATAGCTTAATAGCAATAGGGTGCAATCAAAATATCAAGTTACTAAGTAACTTGGCACAAGGGAAAAACATCCCTTTCATTTTGCTCTCTGCAGATGCAGAAAAAGCATTTGACGGAGTCTGCTGGAATTTTATTAATGCTATCCTAGCTCATGTAAGTTTGGGCACCAATATGATGACATGGATTGGAGCTTTATATTCATACAATACAGGCACCCGCCGGGTCAATGACTCTATTTCTGCATCCTTCTTGATTAGTAACGGGACATGTCAAGGATGTGCCCTATCTTCTTTAATTTTCATATTTTCGTTAGAACTGTTCCAACACATCATCAGAGCAAATAAAGCAATAACTGGACTTAAAACTGCTAACCTCACCCATAAGGTCACAACATATGTTAAGGACCCTATCTACTTTACATCTTCCCTCCTGTCCACAAACCTCCTCATCAGTCCTGCTACAAAAATTGGAGAGATATGGGGATCTTTCCATGGACAAGATTAAATCTGAGGCCTTAAATGTTACCTTGCCACCTGGGCAACTCGAGCAGATGAAGCAGAGTTTCCCATTCAGATGGTCCTCATCCCTTGACAAATAGCTAGGTACATTGATCTCTGCTAATTTGAAACTTACCTTCAAATCGTATTTCTGTCCTCTGACCAAAACCATTAAATCAGACCTCCATAAATGGAACTAGGAGGTGTTCACCTGGGTTGGTCTTAATATTGTCCTGACACAAGGTGGTGGAGAGCGGGTCTCAAGTCCCCCAAGGCGGAGTAGAGCGGGTCTCATGTCCCCCAAGGCGGTGGAGAGCGGGCCTCGTGTCCCCCGCGGCAGTGAAGAAACCGGAAGTTGGAAGCCAGGCTTCACAACGAGGCTTGGCGCGCAAGTGGAACGCAAATCAATCCCCGGGGCCTGGGGATCGCAATGCAAGCAACCCCGCTCGATTGCAAGCCACCCATTCCATCTGTGCTCGCCCCAAAGGGATTTCCCCTCGCATTGGGCAAGCGGAAATTTCAAGCCCTGGTGTAAAGCATGCCGCTACTGGACTCTAGAGCAGTGGAGACGTGTTCTCTGGCGTGATGAATCACGCTTCTCTGTCTGGCAATCTGATGGACATGTCTGGGTTTGGCTGTTGCCAGGAGAACAGTACTTGCCTAACTGCATTGTGCCAAATGTAAAGTTTGGTTGAGGGGGGATTGTGGTGTGGAGTAGTTTTTCAGGGATTGGGCTTGGCCCCTTAGTTCCAGTGAAAGGAACTCTTAAGGCATCAGCATACAAAGACATTTTGGACAATTTCATGCTCCCAACTTTGTGGGAACAGTTTGGGGATGGCCCCTTCCTGTTCCAACCTGACTGCGCACCAGTGCACAAAGCAAGGTCCATAAAGACATGGATGAGGGAGTTTGGGGTGGAGGAACTTGACTGGCCTGCACAGAGTCCTGACCTCAACCCAACAGAACACCTTTGGGATGAATTAGAGCGGAGACTGCGAGCCAGGCCTTCTCATCTGACATCAGTGCCTGACCTCACAAATGTGCTTCTGGAAGAATGGTCAAACATTCCCATAGACACACTCCTAAACCTTGTGGACAGCCTTCCCAGAAGACTTGAAGCTGTTATAGCTGCAAAGGGTGGGCCAACTCGATATTGAACTCTACGGACTAAGACTGGGATGCCATTAAAGTTCATGTACGTGTAAAGGCAGGTGTCCTAATACTTTTGGCAACATAGTGTATCTGTCCTAGACATCTTTCCTCCCTGGCAGAAAAAAAAAATGCATGTGTTTAGCATTTGGGCGTTTATTTCATTGGCCAGAATATTATTATTCTGCCATTGAAATGAATTTACACCAGGCGTGTTTAGCAAGCGTTTTTCCAGACAAAACGCCACTGCTCCTGGACGCACTGGCAGTGTTTTTTTTTTTTTTCTTGCCTGTAAATGCCCTTGCCTCTAAACTCCTTTAAAAGCCTGTGTGTTCATTGACACAGGAGCAGTTAGAGGCAGGGGAAAAAATGCCACACTCCTAGAAGCAGCTGAAAAAAAATGTCCAGTGCGCATGAGGCCTTAAATTTTTATTATTTTTTTGGAAACTCCCAGTCATCTCACCCACTGCACAAAATGTGTATTCTAAAGTTCTACTCACCGACTCCCAGCTACTCCAGTCTGTATCCAAGCACTGGATCTTTCGGAACGTGAGGAGCTGAAAAATAAAAATGAAAAAATACACAACACAAGTGTGCGCTATATAGGCTGCACCTCATCTCCCAGTGCAAATCACAGACACTGCACACAAAATATGTAGAAAATGATTCCTTATGTTTTAATTGCTTTCTAATTATATGCAGTAATAGGGAAATCCCCTCTTACACAGTTGTTACCAGAACAAGTGTCCCCAATTAACATTTATGGTAGACTATTGTTAACAACTATAAAAGCTTGGATGTCTCATCACTCATTTAGTTTCTATCAGGTAAAACAGTGCAAATCTCCATAGCAGGGACACAGACAGCAATAAAAACCTGACTGGGGATGCAATATTTCCACATTCTATCCAAAACTAAAAAAAGCATTTCCTTCAGGTGTATTTCAACTTCTCATTCAAATAGCAGAGCTATGCCCCCCCTCTTCCCAGCCCTTTAAGAGGATCTAAAACCTGGAGGTGGTCTTTCTGATCTTGTGACCAGTGTGACTGGCTGTCACAGCAGTCCCATTGATTGGAAGCTTCTGATCACAAGTATGCATCGGGAGCTCTCCATGACCTCTTAGTTACTATGCTGAGAGCGCATGTATGTGAACAGCCAGCAGAAACAGGCTAAAAAAACTTTGCTTACAATTTTAACTGCTTTTTTTTTCTTATAACAGCACTTAAAAACCCTTCCTAATTCTCTTTATGAGGGGACTGGAGTAGGGGCAGCTGTAGATAAAGACAAACAGCAGCTTTGGCTAAAGTTGAATAATTCCCCTGCTATAGGTGTAGGCTATTTGCCATATTTAACCCTATCTGTACTGTGCTCGCAGATCTTAGCAGTGTTAAAGTAGATTTGAACAGGGTCTGTCTCAACAAAGGGTTAAACATTTAGAAGTGGGCCTCCTGTATTATGTCAATGAGGGTATGCTTAAGCCAGCCACAGGTGGATTGAAATTCGTCTGATTCAGCAGGGACCAGCTGAATTTGGATCCATCTATGGGCAGGCTGGTTGTGCAAAATTCGATCTCTTGATCAAATTCTGTACAACCAGCATGTCAGGTTTTTTTTTGCTCGAGCAGTGCCACTGGCTATAGCATCACTGATCATTGTATTTTGATTGCGGGGAACTCTCCCACTGTCAAAATACAATAGCCCCATGGGAGGGATTCCCCCACCATAGAGTGTGTTGATGGGGGAACTAAAACTTTTTTTTTTTTTTCCCCAACCCTCTGGTTGAACGAAAAAAAAAAATGTAGGGTACACACACAGTTTGTTTTCATTCAACCAGTGGGTTGAATGAAAAAATAATAAACTGACAGATGCTCACATCCACACAAGAGATGAGGATGCAGGGATCACCCCCACTGTGCTATTCTATTCTGACAGTGGGGGCTCCCTCCCCTGCCAGAATACATAGATTGGTGCTGCAGTCATTGGCTGGTTTTCCAGCAGGACTGGTCAACAGAAGTTGGTTATTAAATCAGCTTCTGTTGAACAAAGACGAGCACAAATATGTACACAGCTTTAGTTTGTCCTTGAGGCATACTTGACTCTAAAATTGTTCAGAAATGCTTGTATGTTGCCATGTAGCCTTCATCTGAGACTCATCTAAAAGGTAAGAAATATTTACATTATATTCTGTGTGAATGGGAACAAATAACATAGTGAGATTTTCTCAGATGTGACTACAAAAGTGGAGACATAATTTAAGCTAGACCTTTAGGTATTGCATGGGACCTGCCGAATTTTGATCCATGTGTGTGGCCACTGCAGTTGAACAGCAATTGATCTACTGACTGACTTCTGTTCAATTGCCCTGTCTGATAAAAGCCGATTATTCATCCTCTGTCAGAATACAATAGCACAGTGGGAAGGATACCCTCATCCATATCGAATGTGTGACTGGGGAAATCACTTCAGGTTTTTTTTTTTTTTTGTTCAGCCTTTTGGCTGAATGAAAAACGGAATCATGTATGGCCAGCTTTAGTAGCACATTCTCTTGTCCTGCACCTAAAATCTCCATACACCTCCCCTGTGCTGGCTTGTCAAAGTGGATTCTGAAAAAATCCAATTCCACTGTGATGGATTGTAGGATGTCTGCTGACAGAGAATGATGCAAACACTCCATGGTAATTACAAGTGTTAACCTCTTATACGTGACTTGTTGAATGTGGTGCCAAAAAAAGATGGAGATTGCCAGGGAAACACTTTTATAAGGGGTGAAATAAGACCTTTTTTAAAAAATTAAATACTCTCAAACAAATTTTCTTGTGCTGCCATCTGTTGGCGGGTTACAAAACTGGTCTCAAAACATTTTGATACCATATCATATTTTTGTCGCTTGTTGTTTGTCTCCTTGTTGACCCTTTTCCAAACATAGCGCTTTTGGTTGTGACCATAAAGCTCTATTTTGATCCGGTCACTCCAGATTACAGTGTGCCAGAAGCTGTGAGGCGTGTCAAGGTGTTGTCAGGCATATTGTAACGGGGCTTAAGCATTGGTGCCGTAAAGGCTTCTTTCTTGCAACTCAACCATGCAACTCATTTTTGTTCAAGTATCTTCGTGTTGTGCTCCTTTTTCCAGAGCAGCCTGTATTTCTCCTGAAATTACCTGTGAGTTTTTCTTTGTATCCCGAACAATTCTTTTGGCAGTTATGGATGCAATCTTTCTTGGTCTACCTGACCTTGGCTTGTTATCAAATGATCCCCAAATTTTCCACTCATTGATTGAACAGTACTGACTGGCATATTCAAGGCTTTGGATATCTTTTTATATCCTTTTCCATCTTGAGAAAGTTCCATTACCTTTTTTGCAGGTCTTTTGAAAGTTCTTTTCTGCTCTATATGGCTCAGTATCTAGCCTGCTCAGTGCATCCACGGGAGAGCTAAAAAACTCACTGACTATTTATACACTGACACTAATTGCAATTTACAAAGCCACAAATAAAAATTAACCTTTAATTGCTGTTTTTTAACCCGTGAGTGTGTCTGTACCAAGGCTAAACATTCTATGGTAATGTAACTTTTGATCATGGCCATTTGGGTTATTTCTGTTGTTATGATTTAAAAAGGAGCTAAACAACTATGTGATAATAAATGGTTTCATATGATCACAATCCTTACATAAAAGATCTTTTTTTTTTTTGCATGATCAGTCATATTTTCAATATCCATGCCAAAACGTCTCGATTTCTGCCAGGGTATGAGCACAACTGTATATATACTGATTATGACTCAAAATCTAAGCATTTTTCATAGGCTGCATTAGATAGTTAAAGTCAGGGAGGGCTACTGAGAAACATAGTTCTGTAGCTGTAAAGCTGTCAGCTAAAATCATTAACTGACAAAACAATCTATATTTCTAATGGCTCTCAGTGGATACTTCAAAGGCCTTTAAAAGTGTACTGAAAAAAAGGGCATTTTCCAGTGTTTTTAATTATCTTGCTTTGCAGTAACACATTTCTATGACCCGATACAACTTATTGCATATCAAATACTCATTTAAAATTACATTTGCCAGTGCAAATATATGTACACTAAAAACACTTGGACTTCCGAATGGCATTTTAGTAGTTTTAAACCTTGAATTTTTATTACCTAGCCTGTGCAGGTTTCATGACAGTAATCACATACTCAAAAAACATACACTGGGAACAAATAGCATAAAACATACAACATATTTAATTTATACATGTAAGATAACATGGGCAGTTGTGAAAGAATGTTTATGTATTTTTTTATATATTATACTAGATATTGCACATTTTGGCCAATGCCTATCTATCTACAACAAAAAACAGTTTCAGCTGGTTGAGGCATATACTGGTTTCTGATCTCTAAGGGGTAATAGGTGTTAACGTCTTCCTGTATGCTGCAAAAATGACAAACCATGTGATCCCAAAGGGGGAATTGCACTATACGGCGGTGCTTGTAAAGAGATTTTATCCCTGATATCGAATGTTTTATCCCCCCAAAATAAGTCCTTTGTACTTGGACTGGAATGGTTGAGTTTTAATATAATAATTGGGAGCGATTAAAGCAGAACTGAAGTCTAGCATCAAACTGTAAGCAGGCAGTCTCTTTATTACAATATCTCTTCTGCAATAAAATAATCTGATCTGCCTGCTTGCAGCCTTTTTTAAAATATACCCTGAGCTATGCATGCACATAGCAGGAGAGAGCAGAATCTTCCCACAGCAGCTGTCATAGCCCCTGCTGTGTGCTCTATTTTGAATGACAGGAGTGATGATAGCATCATTCCTGTCATTCAGGCTGCTGGGGAACAGGGTACTGACAAGCTCTCAGCACCAGCCCCAACTCCATATAGCAACATTGCTCCCAAGGCAAGTGTCCCTTCTGCCTTTCCCAGCTCTGACTACTGCAGGGGAATATCACCACTGTGGGAGAGGCAGAGACACAAACTACTGCAGGGAAATCCTAGCATCATGGAAAAGGCATAGAGCAACAATAATATTGGGGACATCCCCTATTGTGGGGAGGGGCAGAGCCAGGGCCGTGGATAAGAGGGTACTACCAGTCCTCCTGTACGGGTCCCAGGCAGCTGAGTAAATTGGATGTGCGTAGGGAGCATGATCGGCATGGTGGGGGGAAATTACTGGAACCAATCCCTTGTATGGCTCTGCTGTAGCTGAAGGCTGGCTTTTTCTCCTCTCCCTCCCACTGGCTTTCAGCTGCTGCAGAGAGAGCCATACAGGGGATCAGTTTCAGTAATTCCCCGCCACCGCACCCATCACCCTCCCTGTGCACCATACATTTCCCCTTGCTGCCAAGGCCCCCCTGTGTGCCCCCACAGTGCTGTCGGTTTCCCTCCTCTCCTTCCCACCAGCAGCTGCCAGCACACAATAGGATCCTTCAGGATGGAGAGTGCGGGAAGGGTCCAGTAAATGTCACATTTACCAGCCCCTTCCTTTCCTGAATGAACACAATGAGTGCTCTGTACCAATCATTCACGGTGTTCACTCATAACGGAAGCTTAAATAAACTGTGTTTTAT